CCAGTATCAGAAGCAGTATCCTTTTCAGTACCAGTTGCTGGGGAAAATAAATTAGAGGGTGATATTTTGCTTAAGCACTGCTGGTGGATCTCCCACAGATATCACAGTAAGCTAATTATAGGAAAATAAACCTTGACAAGATACCTCTTTGTCTAGATCCAGGATAACCAGGGCCACATTCATGTTTTCATAGAGTTCATCTACACCGATGAATGCAGTTTGATACCACATTAACTGACAGGGTTCAATGCTATGGAATCATGGAAGCTATTGTTTGATGAGGCAATACTTTGGCAGAGAAGTCTGGAGACCTTGTAAAACTACAACTCCTTGGATTCTAAATCATTGAGTCATGACAGTTAAAGAGATGTCAATGCATTAATTATACAGTGTAGCTGGACCCATAGGCCTTGGGCACTCTTGTATTTGGCTCCCAATATCTCCCTAACGTATAACCAAGAACAGACTGATATAATTCCAAAAACCATTCTATTGACTTCTATGATGCTCAAAATGTGAATATCTGTTAAAAGACAGAGGTTGGATTTTTTTTTAATTCCCTGAGCATAATTGTTATTCCCACTGAGGCTATCTTCCCTTCTGCTCTGTAGAAAATTCAATTTTGTGAGCCTTTGAAAAATGCATGTAACTTCAGCCGGCTCTCCATTAAATAATCCATGACTTGAAAATATTCACAAAAGAAAAAACTTGACAAGATAGGCCTTTGCTTGGATTTCTCATACTTGTTGGTCCTGCTAAGGCAACCTAACTCTTTTTCCAGCAGAAATATTCATTCTGCTACCCCTTGAAAATACAGTCAGCCTCCCAAATCCAGGGATTCAGCCATCCACATATCTATCTATCTATCTATCTATCTATCTATCTATCTATCTATCTATCCACACACATACACACACTGCATAACGAGACAATGGATCTACACTGCCATATAATGCAGTTTCAGGATGTGAATGGTAGTGTAGACTCATATAATCTAGCTCAATTGATTAATCTGCATCCTTAAACTGGATTACATGGTAGTGTAGACTCATATAATCTAACTCAATCTGCATCCTGAAACTGGATTATATGGCAGTCTGGACTCAAATGATCCGGCTCAATTGATTAATCTGCATCCTGAAACTGGATTATATGGCAGTGTGGACTCATATAATCTAGTTCAGTGACTTAATCTGCATTCTGAAACTAGAATACATGGTAGCGTAGATTGATATAATCCAGCTCAATGGATTAATCTGCATCCTGAAACTGGATTATATGGCAGTGTGGGGTCATATAATCCAGTTCAATGGATTAATATGCATTCTGAAACTGGATTATATGGCAATGTAGATCCAATCTAAAGCACCCCAAGGTCCCACTGTACCAATCTCTTCTTCGCTGCCCAAGGCCTATATATTAATATTATTTTACTACAGTAAGGCTTGCTGTTCCTAATCTATCAAGTAAACATGGAATTACTGTCAAGGGTGGGGAACAGACCCTTTCTGAATACACTTTATGCAGCTGGTTTTGCATTCTTGCCAATAAATGCTTAATTCTTTTGATGCTTTGATGTTTAGGATATATTTACAATCTAGAAATGAACAGGTATCAGATTCAGGCTTGACATAAATTTCAGTCGGATTAGTCTCTTGTAACAAGATCAACTAGGGGTGCATCTACACTGTAGAATGAATGCAGTTTGACACCAGTTTAACTGTCATGGTTCAATGCTACGGAGTCCTGGGGATCAGCAGTCTTTGACAGAGGCGGCTAAAGATCTTATAAAATTACAACTCCCAGGGTTCCATAGCATTGGGCCATGACAGTTCAACTGTTGTCAAACTGCATTCATTCTACAGTGTAGCTATCTATCTATCTATCTATCTATCTATCTATCTATCTAGACCAGCACATTGTGTTTTAGAGGCTCTGTTGTTCAGAACAGGAAGCATTTGGCCCTTGAAAAGGATCCCATGTAGAACAAAACAGATGTTGGTGTTTCAAACAGGACACAGCTGGCCGACAACACCAACATTCCTGCTTGTTGATGTCCCATTTATGTCCCATTGAGAAGGGGGCAAGACTATGACACAGAACAATGGATTCAAATTGCTGAAAAAGAGATTCCACCTAAACATTAGGAAGACCTTCCTGATGGTTAAAGTTGTTTGGACATGGAATATTCTACCTCTGGAAGTTTTTAAGCAGAGGCCAGATGGCCATCTGCTAGGGGTGCTTTGGTTGTGTATTCCTGCAGAGCATACTGTTGGACTGGATGGCCCTTGTGATGTCTCCCATCTTTGCGATTCTATGATTATCTTTCACATGTGCTATATATATATATATATATATATATATATATATATAGGCTCCCAGGAAGGGAAAGCGAGGCATTGATGTTGGCATATCCCTCCAGCTCTTCCCTACATGGACATCTGAGATAAGCAAGGTGAGATCACAACTGGTCAGCCCCATACACATACACACACAGCACAATAAAATAAAAATAAAATACAGTGTAGAGGGTGTATCTACACTGTAGAATGAATGCAGTTTGATACCACTTTAACTGCCATGGCTCAATGCTATTGACACTGCAGGCCTTCCTTTAACATCTTCAATATGAGATCCTGGGAATCGTGGTTTGATGAGGTGTGTACATTCATGGGAAGAAAAGTCTAAAGACCCTGAAAAAAACTACAACTCCTGTGACTCCACAGAATGGCTCTTAAAGTGGTGTCACACTTGGGATGTAGAATAAAATAAAAACAAGATTTTGGTGTTTCAAATGGGACACACCTGACTGTCAACGACAACAACATTCCTGGTTGTTGAAACCATGCCTCATTGAGGAGGGGAAAAGTTTGTCTTCTTTAAGCCCCTTTAGGTCTTCCCATTTTTTAAACGGGGGAAGAGAAGGAAGAGAAGCTGGGTGTTGACCGACCAATATACATTGGTGGAACCTCCTTTTCTGATGGTTTGTAAGCAGAGGTTGGACAGCCATCTGTTGGGGGTGCTTTGATTTTGCATTCCTGCAGGGCATAACAGGGTTGGACCAGATGACCCTTGAGGAGTCTTCCAATTCTATGATCAATGGGGGGTGGGGGGGTCAGGATTATGCAGGTTTGTAAGCAGAGGCTCGATGGCCATCTGTCGGGGTGCTTTGTGCATAACAGGGTTGGACCAGATGACCCTTGAGGAGTCTTCCAATTCTATGATCGAAGGGGGGGGGGGGGGGGAGCCAAGATCATTCAGATGGCATATCCTTCTCTGGAGATTTGTAAACAGAAACTGGATGGCTATCTGTCGGGGATGCTTTGATTGTGTATTTCTGCATGGGAAAATGGAATTGGACTGGATGGCCCTTGCAGTCTCTTCCATTTCTATTAGCGAAAGGGGGAGCCAGGATCATATAGGTTTGTAAGCGGAGACTGGGTGTCCATCAGTCGGGGGTGCTTTGATTGTGCATTACCACATGGGAAAATGGGGTTGGACTGGATGGCCCTTGGAGTCTCTTCCAATTCTGTGCTGTAAAGAGTAGAGCCAGGATCATACAGGTGGAAAATTTTCTCTGGAGCCTAGTAAGAAGAGGCTGGAAGGCCATCTATCGGGGGTGCTTTGATTGTTCATTTCCACATGGGAAAATCCATGATCAAAAGAGAGGAGCCAGGATCATACAGGTTTGTAAGCGGAGGCTGGGTGGCCATCTCTTGGGAGTGCTTTGATTCTGCATTCCCGCATGGGAAATGGGGTTGGACTGAATAGCCCTCTGGGTGTCCTCCAATTCTGTGATGCAAAGAGGGAAGCCAGGATCATACAGGTGGCACCTCCTTCTCTGGAGGTTTGTAAGCAGGGCCTGATGGCCATCTGTTGGGGGTGCTTTGATTCTGCATTCCCGCATGGGAAAATGGGATGGACTGGATGACCCTTGAGGTCTCTTCCAATTCGATGATTGAAAGGAAGGAGCCAGGATCACACAGGTTTGTAAGCAGAGGCTAGATGGCCATCTGTCAGGGGTGCTTTGATTGTGCATTCCCACATGGGAAAATGGGGTTGGACTGGATGACCCTTGAGGTCTCTTCCAATTCCATGATTGAAAGGGAGGAGCCAGTATCACACAGCTTTGTAAACAGAGGCTGGATGGCCATCTGTTGGGAGTGCCTTGATTGTGCAGAATGGGGTTGGGCTGGATAAAGTGGAACTTCCTTCTCTGGGGGTTTATAAGCAGGGGCTGGATGGCCATCTGTTAGGAGTGCCTTGATTGTGCAGAATGGGGTCTGGCCGGATAAGGTGGAACTTCCTTCTCTGGAGGTGTGTAAGCAGGGGCTGGATGGCCATCTGTTGGGAGTGCCTTGATTGTGCAGAATGGGGTCGGGCTGGATGGTCTTCTCTTCCCTCCTGCCCTCCTCTCCCCTGTGAGCCAGGCGGTGTGGCAACGGGCCAGGCCAGGCGCCGTCAGCGCGTCCTTTGTGAGGCGGCGGCGGCGGCGTCGTGCGTGCCCGTCCGGCAGGGGGCGCTGCGGAGTGCCTGCCTCCTCCCTGCCCGGCCTGCCCCAAACGGAAGTGAGTGTAGGGGGCAGTATAGGAATTTCCTGTGACGTCCCGGGCCCGGACTCCATTAGGCTGCAGCTCGGCAGAGAAGCCACAGTGCCTGGCAGAAGCGAGAGGAGAGGGAGAGGGAGGAGAGGGTCTAGGCCAGGCGCCCGAGGCGGGGCCTCTCTTCCGGCGCGGAGACCGGGGGCAAGCGCGGCGGCCGCGGGTCCGCGAGGGAGGGCCCCGCCAGCCCCCCTCCCTCCTCCCCCCTCCCGCTGCCCACCACCACGGCCGCTCTAGGCGAGGAAACTCTGGCCTCCGCGTCCTCCTCCTCCGACTCGGACACCGGCGGAGCCTCCCCGCCACCGCGGAAGAAAGCGCGGCCTTCCCCGGCGGCGGAGGCGGCGGCGGAGGCGGCGGCGGAGGGAGCAGGAGAGCCCGGGGCTTCCGCGGGGAGAGCAGGCCTCGCTTCTTCGTCCCCTCAGGCCGCGGCCGCCCGTCCCCTCAGAGCCCTCTCCGCCGGCGGCGGCGGCACCACTACCGCGAGCAGCGCCAGCGCCGCGGCCATGCAGGCCAACGGGGCGGGAGCCGGGCAGCAACAACAACAGCAGCAGCAACAACAGCCGCCGTCGTCCTCTTCTCCTCCTCCGCCGCCTCCGCCGCCGCCTCCGGGCCCCGAGCTGGGCTGTCTCAGCGCCCAAAACGGAGAGGCCTCCTCGGGCTCGGCGCCCGGGGAGCAGCAGCAGCAACTGGCCCACGCCAACGGGCTCCTCCCGGCGGCCAATAACAACAACAACGGCGGAGGAGGCGGAGGGCCTAGTGTCAACAACGGGGTCTCGGCCCCCGGGGGGTCGGCGGGCGAAATGGGGGGCGGAGGAGGAGGAGGAGGAGGCCTGAAGAAGAAGAAGCGCCTCTCGCAGTCCGACGAGGACGTGATCCGGCTCATCGGGCAGCACCTCCACGGCCTGGGCCTCAAGTAAGTGGGGCGGAAAAGGCGAGGGGAGGGGAAGAGGGGGAGTCGGGGAGGGGGCCTGTTGGGCACCTCATTTGCCCCCACAACACATACAGCCTGGGCCTGATTGACACCCTCGATGGCGTCGCCCACCTTGTCTATTTTTATGAAAATGCCCCCTCCCCCCAAAGACCCTTTTTATCCCCCCCCCCTTTAAATCTAATCCGTGGGATGAGGTTGCTCACCTTTCCCCAGAATCCCCCCTCCTTCCAGGCCATTGAAACTTAAGGCAGGCTTCTTGTTTTTGGGGAGAGTTGAGGGAGGGGGGCATTTGATGTGCTGGGATGAGATGAAATGTTTACATCGGGGGGATGAGGTCGCCCACCTTTTCCCTGTAACCCCCCCCCCCTCCTTCTGAGCCATCAAAACTCTGTTTTTGGGAAGGGGGGCATTTTATTTGCTCTTCAGGGGGGGAGGAGGCTGTTACATGTATCTGCTGTTTGTTTAACCCCAATGTTTCCCCAGCTTTCTCTTTCTCGGCCCCCCTCTGTTGTGAAATTTAGGGCAGGCCTCCATTTCTGTAGGGAGCGATGCGGGACATTTTACTTAGTCTGTTATTGCAGCCCAAAATCACAACGTTGACGTGTGTGTGTGTGGGGGGGGGGGGGTCGGTTTCTGCCACTAATGTGAGGCCTCTCTAGAGCACCATCTACATCCACCATTTGATGTAGTTTCAAACCGGCCTTGGGCGGATGTTTACCTAGGAAATTCTAGAACTGGTTTGAGGCCCGGATGGTGATTACACAAACCAGGGAGCACTGATCCGGAATAAGGGCTTTTCCCCCCTTTCATTTGCTTTTGGGGGAGTTTGTTGGCTCTCTTCTCCCCCCCCCCCCCTTCAAACTGCATTAAATGGTCGGTGTAAACAAGGCCTAGGTTTCCGCTGTTGAGAATAATGGCACAGGCTGACTTGTTTATTTTAGGACCTATTGACTGCTCGAGGGAGGAAAGCCAACAATTTTGAGTGTGTGTGTATATATATAAATACACACATATACATAAATATATATGTGTTGATCCACATTTCTCTACGGGAGGGGCCGTTCCTGTCACGGATTATGCTGTCATAGCTTAATATCAAAGAGAGAGACTGGCAGGCGGAGATAAATCCAGCGAAAAGGCCGTGAAACCACAGGGCCTATTTTTTCAGGCCTAGTCTAGTGTTAACTTCCTACTGAGAAAACAGGTAGATCTTCAGTCATCCATGACAGTATGGAGGCCGAGCAGCATATTATTAAGGCCGAATTGATGGAACTGATAAAAAGAGGCCTTTGAGCACAATAGTGTATGGAAATTTCTTTGTCTAAGTGAGCCCAAAACATCGGTACATTTGATGACAGAAAATAATAATAAATCAACGTATAGACGGGACTGTATTTGTCTGGTTTGTAAAGTCTGTATTTGGGCAATCCGGATTGAGAGTGCAATATGCTGAAATGTAGTCCAGGCACAACTATTTCTGAGAGCATTCAAATATACTGTGTACTTAAAAAATTAATGTCAGATGTGTTGACTCCTTGGTAGCTTGCAGCACTGCAGTACTCTGAGCTGAGTAATCGGCACGCAGCTGGGATGGGGGAGGAGGAAAGCAAATAAATACAGGACATCAGTAATTGGAGTTAACAAAACAAACCTGACATAATGCAATGTAATGGTACCTCCATGAATACTGAGATTTTACGATGGGTCCCTGTACATATATAGCGTGCCCTTGAAAAACTAAGGCCCCTTGTGTTCTAGTGAGAGCTTGTGTCATGATGAGAATGGATTGGTTTTAATTAACTTAGGACACAAAATAAGCATACCAGTGACACAGGGCAAGTTTATAGCAGCAGCAGCAACGGCTCGTGACTTTTCATAGAGCACACCATAGTAAATGTGCTATTTTTAGTTGTAAAAACTGGTGGGGGGTGTTGTAAGTTTTATAGATTGGCTTGCTTATTTTATTAAGTATTCAACCTAATGGGCTATTAACATGAAGGCAGGAGAATACATTGGTAGGGAATAACCCCGTGATCAACACATCAGCTGATTAACGCCACTAGTATATATAAATTCCAGAGATAGATCTATTTTAAAATGAGCAAAACAGTTGTTTTTATAGAACAATGGTTTTCTTTGATTACCAAAATAATTGAGGAAATATACTGTCTATGTAGAATTTATAGTCCATATGTAACTTGTGGATTTCAGGGCATGAGTTTGGACATGTCTATATCCTGAGTTGCTTCGATTTATTATTAAATGTTACATATTTAATTTTTTTCTTAATCTGAAACAACGTTTTCCACATATTTTAATCTGTGGCTACTATGGATGACTTCACCATAAGAATAAGATTGGTCAGTTATTTTTTTCATACTGTACCTCTCTCCTGCAGCCAGACTGTTGATCTTCTCATGCAAGAGTCAGGATGTCGTTTAGAACATCCTTCTGCCACCAAGTTCCGCAATCATGTCATGGAAGGAGAATGGGATAAGGTAATGGAAGAGACACAGGACTGCCTAATTATAACTAGGGTTATGGTCATATGCATTGTTGCTTGAGAATAAATCCATTGAATTCAGCAAGCCTTAATTCTGACTAAACTTATAGGCCTGAGGTGCATTTTGTACATTGTATGGTCTATTTTTGTGGGGTGTATTTTGCAATCTTTGGCTTATCTTCCCCTCCCCTCTTTTTGTTTTCAAAAACTGCTGCTTGTAGGCTGAGAACGACCTGAATGAACTTAAGCCTTTAGTACACTCTCCTCATGCAATTGTGGTAAGAAACTTTTTAACTAATTCAACTGAAATTACTGTAGCAATGTGTGTGTTTATGTCTTTGTTTATTTTAGTTTGGTTATGCATGTTATAAAAGTGGTTATGTCTGCAATAATGGTAATGCATGTTGCTGAGAAATAATTGAACTAAGAAACCTAAAAATATCAATATAACTGGAGTGTTATGTGGTTTCTGGGCTGTATGGCCATGTTCTAGCACCATTTTCTCCTGACGTTACACCTGCATCTGTGGCTGCCATCTTCAGAGGATTTGATGGTCTGATGATCCTCTGAAGATGACAGCCACAGATGCAGGTGAAACATGAAGAGAAAATGCTGCTAGAACATGGCCGTACAGCCCAGAAACCACACAACACTCCACTAGTTCCGCCCATGAAAGCCTTCAACAATACATCAGTATAAGTGCTTAGCACCAGGAATATCTATGTCTGAACATCCTACTGTGACCAACGCAGGCATTTACAGGACCAGCATCCTGTAGTTCAGTTGTTCTCAACCTTCCTAATGCCGTGACCCCTTAATACAGTTCCTCATGTTGTGGTGACCCCCAGCCATAAAATTATTTTCATTGCTACTTCATAACTGTAATTTTGCTACTGTTATGAATCATAATGTAAATATGTAATATGCAGGATGTATTTTCATTCACTGGACCAAATTTGGAACAAATACCCGATACGCCCAAATTTGAATACTGGCGGGGTTGGGGGCGGGTTGATTTTGTCATTTGGAAGTTGTAGTTGCTGAGATTTATAGTTAACTTACAATCAAAGAGCATTCTGAACTCTACCAACGATGGAAATGAACCAAACATGGCACACATAACTCCCATGACCAATAGAAAATACTGGAAGGATTTGGTGGGCATTGAGCTTTGCAGTTGTAGTTCACCTACATCCAGAGAGCACTGTGGACTTAAATAATGATGGATCTGGACCAGTTTTGGCATGGATACTCAATATGCCCAAATGTGATCACTGTGGAGTTTGGGGAAAATAGACCTTGACATTTAGGAGTTGTAGTTGCTGGGGTGTATAGTTCACCTACAATCAAAGAACATTCTGAGCCCCACCAACAATAGAATTGGGCCAAACTTCACACACAGAACCCCCATGACTAACAGAAAATACTGTGTTTTCTGATGATCTTAGATGACCCCCCCCCCCAGGTTGAGAAATGCTGCTGTAGTGTAAATAGAGAACATAAATGTATACGTGTTATGGATATACTATACTGTTTAGCATGCAGCTAAGAAAAGTTTATTGTTTTCAGTTTAATGCTTTAATTTATTCTTAAAATCATTCTGCCTTCTTCATTTGTGGGAGTACTAACATTCTAATTGTAAAGAAGCTGGTATGTTTGAACAAATTGTATTGAAATGTGGTGACTGGCAGCAAACAAGACTTCTACAGTTTCAGTACAGGTATATTAAACATGGGTCACCATTAGTAATTTTCAATTTAAAGCAGATCTGTCATGTGGCAACTTGAGAGCTTGCATTTCATCTGTATTTACATTGTAACTAATTTATTGGTTGCATCCACATGCGTGCAAGCATGCAACTGTAGAAATAATGTGTATTAAAGTCAAGATAATAAGAAATACCTCCTTAGTACTTCTTACCTCCCTCCATATCTTTTATACATTGTTCTGCATTGTCATTCCAATGTTTTCCCCTCTTATTCTAATAGAAAACATGACACTGCTTTTGAAGTTACTATCAAAACAGTACAAATTGAGCTGGTGTCTACTTAGCTTTCTTCTGGTTGACTTCTTTGTTGTCAAAAGGTTATTTTTCTTGTTCTCTTTTCCCACTCTCTCCCCCACCAGGCAAGAGGTGAAGTGTAGAAAAATGATGTTTTGTTAAACCTCAATTGCAGCCTGAAAGTATTTGTGTTTTTGTTCTTTTACTCAGGTCAAAGTCTGACTTTGTCCAAACATTGATTTCTTCTCATGCGTGGATACTTGATAATACAACAGAGCACATTTAAAAGATCAATAACTAATAGTAGGAACCCCACCCCCAGTTTGTTTTGCATATAAACATTTATCTATGAATCTTATTTAGAGCTCAGATCAGGAGATACCATTGAAACCTGTTCAAACTAAACTGTTCCCTGATGTAAAAGATTATTCAGCATACCCTTGCAATACTTTTGAAAATGAAAACAAAGGCATTCTGTCAAATCAGAATTCGTCTTTGTATCCTTAAAATATGAGCAGTGGGGGATAGAAGTGTTCAAAATCATCTCTGCTTGGGTCATTAGCTGGCATTAAAAACAATTCCAAAGTGTTTTGCAGAGCATTTTGACGGATCTTGATGGTTGGTGGTTGAAATATTTTTCTTGATCATAAATTTTGACTTTTGTGGAGGAACTTTAAACATGACCCCTTAAAATGGGAGACGTTTTGATAAATTTAGAAAAACCTGGTTGTGGACATTATGGCACAAATCCAATGCTAATTTTAACCAGAGCAGACTCATTGAATCACTAAAACTGAAATATTTCCTACCAATTCATTGTCCTCAATACTAGGAATTCTTTAATATCACCTCAAAGACATTTAGGAGTTTTAGAATTTCAGTTGAGGTCATGTTCTTTATAGTCATTTTGGGGGGGGGGGGCTTTGAAATAAAAAAGGAAGCACTCATTATTCTATATGTTCTCACTTATAATATATTCTGTACACATTTTGACAATAAATTAAGACCGGAACCTGAAATTACTTTGGAAGGCCTAGTAATTATAAACTCAGATAAAATTCCAGGAGCCCATAAATGTTAATAGAATACGTTAGGCCATTAATATCCTCTAGGACAGTGGTTCTCAACCTGTGGGTCCCCAGATGTTTTTAGACTTCAACTCCCAGAAATCCTAACAGCTGGTAAATTGGCTGGGATTTCTGGGAGTTGTAGGCCAAAAACATCTGGGGACCCCAGGTTGAGAATCACTGCTCTAGGATTTCATTCTAGAACAAACATACCAGTGGATTTCAAAACACATGGTTATTCAAATCCTGATATATTGGGTGGTGTAGTAAGAAAAGGTGCTCCTTATGTAAAATGGCAAAATCAGGAATTATTTTTGGAATTCTTTCTGTCTCCACTGATTTTGTATCCATGGATTCAAATATTCATGGCTTGAATAGCAGACTGCAACTATGAATTTGAATGTTTTTCTTGTGGCTTTCTTTAAACAGTCTAGTAAAATAGTTGTTTTGGCCAAATAAGAATCAATGCTGAAAGAAAGAGGCCTACGTAATCAAATCTCATTGGAAAGCTATATTTAGAAGTTGTACCCTTTTCTCTTATAGACATACCATTCAGATGACTAAGGGCACCTATATTAAATCATATATTGTACCTTTCCTTGCCTACTCAAAATTAATATGGGAAAGCCAACTCAGATTTTCTTATTTTAAAAAGAATCACAGTATTTCTAATAGATGTTTAGGTTTGTGTATATTAAAGCCTTAGGAAAGGAATTCTGTAACTGGCTTGATCATAGAGAAGATCGGTTTTAGGATACGTATCAAAATGTGTCTCTTAACATGATTGTTGTGAGTTTCCTGGGCTGTATAGCCATGTTCTGGAAACATTTTCTCCTGATGTTTCTCCCTCACCTATGGCAAGCATCCTCAGATATACCTTACAACCTCTGAGGAGGCCTTCCATAGATGTGGGCGAAATGTCAAGAGGGAATGCTTCTGGAACATAGCAAGACGGCCCAGAAAACTCACAGCAACCCAGTGATTCCAGCCATGAAAGCCTTTGACAACACATATTGCTTGACGGTTGATCAAAATTATATGGATTCGGGAAGATTTTAGGCATTTTGGGGTTGCATTTATTTTGAAATCCCGCTGAAACTTAACAGATCTTCTTCCAAGTAAGTATGAATAGGGTTGAAATATTTAAGGCAGTACTTCAGATTTTACCAGAAGTCAAAATTAGCATTCATTTCACATTCTGCTTTGTGAGTGTACACTCACTGGCAAAAAAAATATATTCCCGAAATATTGAAACCATGAAGAAAACAGCACCATAAGTCACAATGCTCTGATACTGAAGGTTGTCATATTCCTGTTACATAGTCTTTAAAAATAATTTTGCAGAGCCAATTTATGACTACCTTTTCTTAAACATTTTATTCATCATCCTAAAAGAAAAAATATCAATCTTTTTCTCTCAAGAAAAACATCTTAAGAGAAAACAAACAAAAAAACCCACTTTTTTCCTTCAGTTTTTTCCCCTGGCCATCACATACCTTGTATGCCACAAAATGAAAGACTGAATATGTAAAAACGCGTGTATCATGTAGATAAATTCACTGGACCCTAGGAAAAAGTTCGTAACACTTAGAGACCGTGTACTTGTGACCGTACCACTAGATGATTTTGAACGGTTAAGAGAAGTCTTGAATAGAGCCCATCACAATAAAAAAATGAAAATGTTGTTCCTCAATTAATAAAAGTTTGGGCATCACAACCTATGGGGCAGAATAAAAAATCCTAAATAAAGAATCTTAGGATAAAATGAACTATTAGTCTTAAATAAAGAAACAACCCTTACAATCCTGCACAGTGATGTTATAAAGCACTCCATGCTGTAGAGCAGGCATGGGCAAACTTTGGCCCTCCTGCTGTTTATGACTTCAACTCCCACAATTCCTAGGAATTGTGGGAGTTGATGTCCAAAACACTGGAAGGCCAAAGTTTGCCCATGCCCCCTGTAGACCCAAGTCACTAGTGCTCACCACTGCCTTGGTATCAGTAATGACTTGTTTAGACTAAAGAAATGTCTGAAAAGATCAATCACTGTTTTTTAACTGACCTGTTTTTTAGCTGTGCAGAACTTATCAGCCAAGGCCACAAACGGTCATTAAGGCTGTGAGGCTCCTGCCTGCACTAGTTTGTTGAATGCTAGAGCTAAAGTAATGTATGGATTTGGGATCTAGAATCAGTCACTTGTTGGGAAGAT